GCTGCCTATTCGCTTTTGAATTCACATCAGCATAATGTGTCCGGAGGTTAAGTTCAGAGTCCAATATCACACCAAGGTCTCTAACCTGATTCAGCCGTTCTAGATCATGACCAGCAAGACGATAGTGGAAGATGATCGGATGACGTTTTCTGGAAAACGAAATAGTGTTGCATTTCGTTACACACAGTTCCAGTAAGTTCCGTTTGCTCCAATCCTCAAATGACTCCAACAAACTCTGCAGGTAGGCACAGTCCTCGATGCATGTGATTACCATGTAAATCTTAACATCATCGGCGTAGAAAACACGATTTCCAGATGGTAAAACAAACGATGCATCATTAATGAAAAGCGAAAACAATAGGGGGCCTAGGTTGCTCCCTTGTGGAACTCCGGATACAATCGGGAAGGCGGTTGAATGTGAGGAGCCTAATTTAACTTTCATAGACCGTCCTGACAGGTATGATTCGAACCAACGAACAAAGGCGACGGATACTCCAAATCTCTCGAGTTTTCGAAGCAGAATAGCATGGTTCACTCGGTCGAATGCAGCTTTGAAATCAGTGTATATAGCATCTACTTGCATGCCAGCGTCCATCTATCGAATGCACAATGAAGTGAATTGAGTGAGGTTCGTTGTCACAGATCTTTTTGGAAAAAATCCATGCTGGGCACTAGAGATGTAATTCTTGCTAGCTTCGAACAAGGCATCGTTCACGATTATCTCAAAGAGTTTGGAGCAAGCATTCAACGACGTTATCCCGCGGTAATTGGAAATATCACACTTGTCCCCCTTTTTGTGAATAGGAATCATGACCGAAGTCTTCCACGCGGATGGGAATGTCATTCGCTGTAATGAAATATTAAACAATTTCACTAGCGGCATCAATAAGACACTTGAGCAATTCTTAAGAATGCATGCAGGAATACCATCCGAACCGTATGACGCAGAATGTTTAAGTTTACGTATCGCTTTTTGTACGTGCTCCTCAGTGATTTGGAAAATTCCAAAGTCGAGCCTATCTGATGGTGTGTCATGGATGGCTGCATTTAGATGCGAGGACGAAATCGACATGTCCGAGAAGGCACTCTTGAAGTGATCAGCAAACAGCTCACACTTGTGGGCATCTGTGCTAGCAGAGCGGGCACCGAGATACATAGACGAAGGTAACCCATTTTCCTTACGCTTCGACCGAACAAATGACCAGAAACGTTTGGGATGCAGGCGTAGATTTCTCTGCGTACGGTCTATATAACGAGTATACATTTCGCGGTTAAAGCTAGTGTATTTATTGCTGGCCAGAACAAAACGACGTTTCAGGTGTTGTGATCGATTACGTTTGAATTTCCGAAGAGCAGTACGTCGACGGCGCTTCAATCTACGAAGCCGATTGTTTGTCCATGGAGGTTTCAGAGTAGGACGCTGAAGTGGCACGTGAGCTTCGATAACACGACGTATCTCAGAGTTGAACGACTCAACGATGTCATCCAGATCTCGTTCGTCATCCAAAAATTGCCAATCAATCACAGAAAATGCTTCACTCATCAAGTCATAGTTGACACGGCGGAAATCAAATTGCGGGTTCTCGTGTGGCTGATCAAATCTCACTGGTGACGGCAAAGAAACGGCAACCTCAATAGCGGGATGTGCAGTGTCGAGTTCTACAAGAGATTCAACCGCTTCAGAAATGCTGCAGTTAGGTAGTGCTGTATCGTTCACCAGTACTAAGTCAAGAGTACGAGAACTGGCATTTTTCACAGAGTTGATTTGCGTCAGACCATTGAAACAAAAGGCATCATATAGAGCACCATCCGAAGTTGAAAAACGGGATATACTGGAATCTATATGAAGTCCGCCATCCTCTGAAGCAGTCCAATGCATGTTGGGGTGATTGTAGTCACCGAACTGAAGCGCAAAATCATGAGGTTTCAAGCATGATATTACTGAACTAACAGAATCGCTATGAAGCTGAATGAGGGACAGATCATCTCTACGATCAGGTGGTAGATATAATACTCCAATACTGACTGAACACGTTTGCAATTTGATTTTTACCCACAGCTGTTCCAAAGCATCACTAACTGGAGCTGGGTCGACACAGCAGCACAATCTGGTAGACACTGCAATCAAAACTCCACCGCCGCGCAGCTTTCTACTGTTCAGTGGATTGCGATCAGTCCGAAAAACAGTGAATGATCCACCAAATAGCTGAGTTGATAGGATGCAAGTGTCGAGCCACGTCTCGGTTAGAACTATCACATCATACTCCGAATCTGCGGCAGCGAGATAGAAGGCATCGATCTTCGTTCGGAGTCCACGGACATTTTGATAGAAGATACGAAGTTGAGAAGAAGAATTTGAGGGAGGCATGCCAGTAATCTGTTGAGTCTGAGCGCAGACTGGGTGGATCACAGGACTACCACTTTCAATCTCAGGAACGAGTCGGTTGCGATGAACAAAAACAGCATCTTGCAGGACAAGGTCAGAGGGCCTCGATGCTTCTGGAGAATTACCTGCGACGTGCAGCGGCAACTGGATTGAACATGGTGAGGCTGGTGTGCTGTTATTGTCAATATTAGACCACAATTGTCGTGGAGCAGAGACGTAAGATGGTACTCTGGAAACCAAGATATTTACAGGCAGAGAAGTTGTTGTTTGCTGACTGTACTTGCCTACGGTTTGATTTTGGAAGACCCCCTCTCTCAACTCATGCGCAGAGCTGGGACGACTGTTGAACGCTGGCAGCTTAGGCTCGACTGCGATGAGAGGACTAGGGGCTTCCACAAGGCTGGCGGCAAGTGTGCGTCCCAGTGGCATGTTGAAGACAACAGGATGTGATTTATTTTGCAATAAGCGGCTGTAAGCATCATACATTTTAGGAAGAGAATTGCTCGAATTATCATCGTACTTGCCTGAAATAGGGTTTCGGAAGACCCCATCTTCACATCCAAACGCAGGACCAGGACGGCTGGAGGTCGCTGGCAGAATTGGCTCGACTGCGATGGGTGAATTAGGGGCTTCCAAAAAGCATGCGGCAAGTGTGCGTCCCGGTGTCCGACTAGGGTAAACCACGAACGAGTTTATTGACGAATTACGACTAGAAGTGATAAGCGTTTCAGGGACAGAATTGTTCGGAAAACTAGAATACTCGCCTGCAGTTGGATTTTGGAAGACCCCTTTTCCGGACTCATACACAGGACCGGGACGGCTGAAGGTCGCTGGCTGGAGGTGCTCGACTGTGATGAGGGGATCAGGGGCTTCCAAGAAGCTAGCGGCAAGTGAGCGTCCCGGATTCGGGTAGTAGGTAATACGACGTAGTGGCTCTGGGTCTTGACTCAGTGATATCACTCCGTCATAGGCATTTGATGAGGTGACTCGTTGGATTTCGGAGTTGTCTGCGGTGTATTTATTGGCAATCCAGGCGGCTTCCAAAAATTTTCGGCTTTGCGGTTGTCAACAAATTCACGAAACAGCATTCCTTTGGGCCATGTAGAGGACGACAATGCTTTCGCCTTCAAATTTGTAGAGACGCCTACTTTGAAGGAGACAAACGACATGGTTTGGATATCTTTACTCTTAGCAACCAGTCGGATAACTTCAACATCCTCAGTTGACAAACGATGCTTGGCAAGTTCAGTGATCTGCTCAGCAGAAACGTCACGGGAAATCCGAGATAGGTATAACCAAAACTTATCCTTAGAAACGGGAACAGTTAGACGGCCTAGACTTGGAGACGGCGAATCTCCGGTAGCAGTCATAAGAGGTGGCAAGTTATTGTCCTTTTTCTCGAATAACCGTCGGCTTCCTATGGTGCGTGACCTATTACCAGACCGTCTAGAGGACACCGGAGTGGTGGAAGTGGTATTGGTCAACTTTGTGAAATTGGATCGAATTTCGATTTTCAATTCCTCCAGAATTTCCAGTTTTAGTTTCCCCAGTAGCTCAGTATGACCGCTCAGTTGTTTCTCCAAACCAGCATCGTAAGCAGTCTTCACGTTTTTCTTGTGACGAACGTCTGACATTATGGCAGCACAGGATTTACACATCCAGAAGAGCTGCCTATTCCGATCGATTTCATCCAACATTTCACTTGGCAGGTGACAGCATTTTAGGTGAAACACCGCGCTACAGAACCCACGGCAGGTAATGCGTTCCTCTTGGACATCATTGGTGCAAGCGTGGCAGATTACACTCATTTTGCAGGAACAAGGCGATGCAGACCAACAACGAAATTCCAACGTAGCGCAATACAACAGTAGGGTCCAGACGACAGCAATTCGCCGAAATTTATGCAGCAGTTACACCACGAGCTCAATGAAAGATTGCAAGCTTAAAAGTTTTGCTGGCAGATGGCGCTTCGGAAAAAAAAAATTCGCGTGGGGAGTGCTTGGGAAAGTGTATGTAAACAATGAGTCACTTTCACTTTATCACCGCACCACGAAAATCACAACACACCGAACGAAATTCACGAAAACAGAAAGCAGTAGTACAAAAACTGAATCACGAACGACGAAAAAGTATTTTATAACCGATATAACACCGAAAAAAGTATCACTAATTAACGACCTAATCGCAGCAGAAAACGTAGCTAGCAGTGTTGCCAGAAAGTGAAAATTATTTTTAATTTTTCCTTTATGGTGTTTAAAAAAATATAAATCTTACCTGTGCTGCAGTATATCTGTTGACACCGAACTCATCCATGATTCTTTGTACAGGCCAAGATTTCGGTAATACGGATAATACTTGTGTCTTTTCTTCTCGAGTGCATTCCGGATCTGCGTATTTTTCCTTTAGTTGGCTCATCATTTCATCGTAATCCTTAGCCTTGGCGTTGAGGATTCCTTGGTCATCATCTTCCGAAAGATCGAATATGTGTCGCTTAACCCCATCCATGATTTCTTTGGTTTTCTGTTGAGGATAACACGCGCTTTTCAGCCTCTTTGTCGTAATCGGTGATACATGGATACCCATGATGCCTTGGTTGAATGTCTCAATACTATGGGACAAACTGATTCTATTAACAACAGAATCTGCTGAAGTCGATGAAGCCAGAGACGTAACCGATGGGATGATATTCACAATGGATTCACTCTCGATATCTATGGGTGCTGTTGAGCGTACACCACTGCACTATGGGGAGAAGGGTGGCCATTAATATATTAATATATTTTTAATTTCACATATTGATATGCCAATTGAGAGTACATACTCTAGTTAAGACAAGCTGAAAATATTTCAACATAATATTGTGGCTAACGGAAGATACATGCTACCAAAGTTGAAAAAAGCGGAAAATCATAGAAATCAAGCGTATTTTTCATCTTATGTTTCCCATATGCTATGCAGTAATGTAAAAATATTGAAACATACCATTTTAAAGCTTGAAATCTAAGCTTTCCATTGGCGTTATCAACATTACAAATCGATCAAATTTTTGAATAGTCACATGAAAAAATACCAAAAAATTACGATTTTTCAAGACTAAATCATGTCGCAATAAAAAAAGTCCACCTCGGTTCGCTCAACTGTTCATAAGAGAATAAAGTACAATCCTAGTGCTAACTTTCAGCAAAGGTTGCATCTGCACTTACTTGCTCTATCTCGAGAAAGCACCAATTGAAAATTTTATGTTTTCATTCATCAAACACCGGATGGATTACAAATAAGTCGATTATGTACTCTAGCGCTTTTTTTATGTAAGGGTACATCATGATAATCATCAGTTCAACGTTTCATCTTTTGGCCAAAATGTAGTGCTCAGGAAGTTTGTTTACCTCCCTGGCAAAGAAATTGCCGAAGGTGAAATTTTTCCTACTTAAGATTATTTATTTTACCTAAAATAGGTTGTTTTATTTTGGTGTGTTTGTTTTGGTTTTGGTCACCACTGTCTACAAACTGTCAACAAGTGCACACAGAAAAACAAAACTACCCACCGGTTGGGTTTTTTAAACTCAAATTTGAGTTATTTGACCTCTGCCCGTTTCATTTCCTCTCGCTATTGTTGTCAAAAATAGAACGAAAGATTCGACTCAACCGTCTAGTTCCGTACGAGAAGCCAAAATTGAGTAATATGCGATATACCCAAATTTGAGTTAATTGAACTTAATTTTGGGTAGAAAAAATTGAAAATAACTTAGCGATGGGTAATTTTTTTTGCCGTGCTTAAATGCAAACTACACGCTTATTCTGGTCAACCCAAAATTGAGTCGAAGGTACTCATCTCAGCGGCAAGTATAGCTACTCAAAATTGAGTAGCCTTATGTTGACTCACTTTTGAGTAAACTACGTTCTCACGTAGACTGAGTCAAATCCACTCGCCGGTATTTTCAGTTGCGGGGAGGGTTTTTGTTTTGATTTTCATTCAAGAAAATGGAAATTGCCTGCTTCGGATTCATTCTACCGGAGCAAAACACGGTTCAACACCGTTTCCCTAAGCAATTCGTACTTACCTGAAGGCATTTCAGCCGGTTTTGAGTAACATTTTCCCTCCGACATGACTGGCATTTTTTCCAAGTCCACACGCTAACTTCTGCTTACTCACCAGGTGAGTCGATCGTACTCACTTTCGTCCGATGTATCGAGTTGTCAAAAATTGAGTAAACTAGAAATGTCAAACTGAGTAAAAGCCACTCAGTCAGCAAAATCCTGGACTTGGAAAAAATGCCAGTCATGTCGGAGGGAAAATGTTACTCAAAACCGGCTGAAATGCCTTCAGGTAAGTACGAATTGCTTAGGGAAACGGTGTTGAACCGTGTTTTGCTCCGGTAGAATGAATCCGAAGCAGGCAATTTCCATTTTCTTGAATGAAAATCAAAACAAAAACCCTCCCCGCAACTGAAAATACCGGCGAGTGGATTTGACTCAGTCTACGTGAGAACGTAGTTTACTCAAAAGTGAGTCAACATAAGGCTACTCAATTTTGAGTAGCTATACTTGCCGCTGAGATGAGTACCTTCGACTCAATTTTGGGTTGACCAGAATAAGCGTGCAGGATTTTGCTGACTGAGTGGCTTTTACTCAGTTTGACATTTCTAGTTTACTCAATTTTTGACAACTCGATACATCGGACGAAAGTGAGTACGATCGACTCACCTGGTGAGTAAGCAGAAGTTAGCGTGTACTTTGAGCCGGTTTACCCAAATTTGGCTTATCGTACGGAACATGGGAGATGAGTGAAAAGAGCTTAATTTTGGGTTGTTTTGAATTTCTGTGCAGCTGAACGAACATTGCAGAATTCTGTTTGAAAAGTAGGTTAAAGTGAATGTATTTAATATTGTGAAAATGGCATTGCAATATATGGACATCGTTGGATCGTATGATTTTAAGCAACGAATTGTTGACAAAGTTACGACGACATTCGAAGAAATTTGTCAAACTAATCGCAAATGAATTTGATCGGAAATCGGATTCATCCGAGAAAGTTCTGATGATTGCAAGAAGAACAGCCTTCAATAATCAGCAATTCAATCTTATGAACGTTCTTGGCCACATCCTGAAGAATCAAAACAACGCGCATAGCATGTTTGTTAAGTTGAAAAAGCACCGTGGTTTGATGTCAGCGGAAGAAGCGTTTACCTTCTTCATCGATAATGGATTTTCGAAATCGCAATATGAAAACATACATAGTGCAGATCCTGCACGATTCCCAAGCTACTGGAGTATTCGAAAGATGAAAGCCATTTGTGCTCCACCTGTGAATGCGATTGAAATAACAGCTAAAAAAATTAAGGTAATTTTTAATCGTTTTACTGAAGTGCGACTGCTTGATAAAATATGTTTTTGCATCTTCCTACATACATTTAATAAATAACTATTTCAGGGAAGATTTTATTCCTAAAATAGTTATTAATTAATAGGAGATTTTATCCCTAAAACAGTTATTTAACATTTTTAAAATGATGATATTAAGATCACGAGGATCTTAAAGACAGAAAACTGCCAAATAAAATATTTATTCATTTGTTTATTTTTTTTTCTAGTTCGTTTATTTGGAAGGCTCAATAGCGTTATCTTTAAGGAGCCGATAATTCATTGTTCACTGTGTGTAACAAAATTCACTTAATTCTATGTCTAGTAGGAGTTGGGCCGATTACTCGCGGCTTACTCGAGGTTAGAAGGGTACATTTTCGAAGGATAGGATCAGGGGAGGAGCTTGGGGTAGGGTTTCGTTGTCTCATCAGAGCGTTGTCACCAGTATGAACGGTAGTGCTGTTCTAGCTTCGTCCGGAGTTCGACCGGCTATGGTGGGTGACCAATTCATTTGTTTATATTATATATAAACTGTTTGAATGGTATTTCGATATATTTATCTATTTTCTTCAATGAAGGCAAACCCTCAAGATCTCATGGAACATACAGTTAAACGGTTGATTGTGATGCAACAAGCTGAAATGATCGAATACTTGGATTCAAACGACCTGAAAAATGTAAAATTGATTCTTCTCAGTACATGGGGATTAGATGGATCTTCTGGGCACTCGCAATACCACCAACACTTTCCAAGTTGTAGTCAGAAGCAAGCACTAACAGATGAAGATTTATTAGCTGCTGTCACAACACCAATTCGGCTTTCACTGAGCAATGATTCGAACAAAATCTTTTGGTTCAATCAAATGCCTCAGAGCGTCCGGTTTTGTCGACCAATAATATTGGAGTTTATAAAAGAGAGCAAAGAAGTTGTACTTAAAACGAAAGAGGAAGTTGAATTAGAATTCAGCAATCTTAAGCCAGTTCAAGTTGAATTATCTGACGAAAAATCAGTCACAGTTTTATTCGACTTCGTTATGAGTATGATTGATGGAAAATTTTTGACCTTTATAACCGGCACGTCTTCAATGCAATGTTGCCCTATTTGTGGTGCATCGCCAAATAAAATGAACGATGAAAGTGAATTTGAAAAAGGATTCTCGTCAAGGTTGGAGACATTGCAGTATGGAATTTCACCATTACACGCCTGGATGAGGTTTTTGGAATGCTTACTTCACATTTCATACAGAATTCAATTCAAGCAATGGCGGGTCACAAAAGAGTTTAGAGAGGTGTATCAAAAACGAAAACAAGAAGTTACAAAGAAGCTCTACGAATCATTTGGCGTGCGGGTTGATGAGCCAAGAGGCTCGGGATCGGGAAACAGCACAACCGGGAATGTTTGTTGAAGACTTTTCTCGGATACTGAACTGCTTAGCAGCATTCTGGAAATATACCATGACTTGGTTGTCAGATTCAGAAATATATTGATTACTATCAACTGTCAACAACCAGTAAACCCGCAAAAAGTAGACGTATATGCTCGAGAAACATACCGCCATTACCTTCGCTGTTATGCATGGTACAAAATTCCAGCATCGGTACACAAAGTACTTGCACATTGCGGAGAAATTATAATTTATTCTCCTGCACCTGTTGGCATGATAGGAGAAGAGCCTTCCGAATGTCGTAACAAATTTTATCGAAGAGATCGAGAAATTCATAATTCATAACTTATATGATGTCTTCATTCGTGCAATGAATTCTTCAGATCCGTTAATAAGTTCAATTTCGATTGGTACGTATAAAATAAACAACATCCTGACAACATATACAATTTTCCTTCCAGGAAAGAGGCTCAAGGGCAGAAATACCCTTGAACTGCCAGAAATTGTGAAGAATTTCCTTGTATTCGATGATCCCGACAGCTATGGAGAAACAAATGTGGAGAAAAACTCTGAAGTAAGAAACGAGTTACACGAAATAATGGAATATGTAGCAGACTTAAACGAAGATTTTGCAGAAGATTTCGATTTCGAGACCACAGTTTCTGATAATGTTAATGAAAATATGATTTAATCTTCTTTATGCTTCATGAAACTTTTATTAAATCTTTCCCTTGTGCATTTTTTATTATTCTTTGTTATTTTTTTATAACTCTGTTCAATACACAAAAATGCTATCTATTACAACATACTTATTCTAACATTTTCAATTTGTTTTATATGTTTGAGATTTGACTGGTTCATTTATTCATTAATGAAAAGGAAAAGTTCAGAATATTTTATAATAACTATTGGCTTTACCTTTTTGATCATACTTTGTCAACGTATTTGTTCGCTAATACACGGTAAGCTAAGGTAAAAAAGTTCGGTAGAGGTACTGATTTGATAAGATGCATAGGATATTTATGAATTGTAATTTGCGACGTATTATTTAAGGGACTAGTTTAAATAGTCCGTAACGCTAAACATTGAGTGCTGGTTTACCTTCCAATCCCTCATCAAGCACTTTTTCTTTGTGTAATACATTTGTACTGTTATTTCAGGGGGTAATCGTGGGCGTATCTTCTCTGACGATACGTAATATTTGAATAGGCTCTAAATTTTACAAAAAAAGTGTTTTTTCACATTCATTGACAAAATACGGGCATCAAACTATCAATGAGCTGTTGAAAACATTTATATCTCCAGACATGGATATTTCCAGTGGTAAGTGTGATTGCCTCTCACCCCAGCAGGCCTGGGTTCAATCCCAGTCGGCGCCGCCGGGATGTTCAGGGAAGTAAAGCCATTGTCCCCGGTGCATGAGTTGATGAGTCGATAGGTAGGGTCCAGCATAGGCGTAGCCAGATAGGGGCAGGGGGTCGACTGCCCCCCCCCCCTAAACTCGGCAACACAAAGGCTTTCGAGGAAATGGCGTTCGGTGAAATGGCATTCGGCCAAATTTTCGATGGTAATTTTTTTTCGCCCCTCCCTAGCTCGAAACCTGGCTACGCCCTTGGGTCCAGGTGTGGGAGCTGCTCCTTGGCGTCGGTGGCATTGGTGCTCAGCACGGAAAACAAGATCGACGGAAAACAAATCCAATTAAGGAAAAAAAATGATATTTTCATAAATACTGATGAAGACGTACTTTACCCTACTAAACCTAATTTTAACCATTTCACTGAAGAGTTATGAGTTATAAAATGCTATCGCACACATCAAGGGTAACAAAAAAACAGTTTTAAAGATCGACATATTTTTGGCCACCTATTTGTATGGGAACTTCCCATAGTGCACTGGTAGAAGGTTGTTCCAGATCTTGCTGCATTCCGTCATTCGAAGGCGTTTTGTTTGATGGCAAACGGTAAACTTGAAGACGACATCTACTACAAATTTTCAAAGAACTATCCAGAGGTATTTTACAGCCAAAACATTTTAATTTTTCTATTACTCCATCTGACAAGTTTCTTGTATCTGAACAACACTTTTTTGATTTAGGTAGAGGTTTACAACACTTGAAATTGTTATCCATCGTAAAAAACTACTTGCTTTTTAACTTGAAACGCTAAAAGAGATGAACTGAATGGAACAGGTGAAGAACGTCCCTATATATATATATATATAAATTTCTATGCAAAATTACCAGTTCTTATGAGTAATTTTTAACGGTCTTCCAGTGGATAAAATCTATCTATTTAGTTTTAACATTTCTTTCCCATAGTTGCTTAATAGAACAAACAAATAAGTGATCTAATACACTCATATATTTTTTATTGTTACATATTCAATATGTATGTAGCAGAATAATTACAATGTTGACATTATACCTATCTTCATTAGGTACAATTGATTATACCAAACTTTTTTAAGTGTGAGTGTAAGAAGCCTCCACAGGGTGCTTTTTTATGTAGTTGTGATATCGCGGGATGAGCTCTTAAGGCACAATATGGTATACGTCAGAGAAGTACCTAGAGAATTTATCTCAATTACAGGTTTAATAACAAATTTGTTTACCTGTTTATGTTTTGAGCCTCTGTTATGACATACACAATTCTATCCAGGTATACAACTAATAGAGGACAGAAAAAAGGCACATGAGTGGGTTTGTTGATTATTTGGGTATATTTGAGAGTATTTACTTTAAGACCTTAAACTAAATCAATTGCGCCTACGCGTATGCTATGTATTACAGCTCATTACCCCGTTACGAAATAGACTGACTGTAGAACAATTTTTCAGTTTACTCCTTCCAAAAGTTTTGGGTTCAGTACAACAACAGGAAAAAAGTAAAACTTTAATGGTTGTTATTGAAAATAGGGCAGTAGATTGTTTATATCAAAAGATGGTTCTAATTATAACGAGAAACTTCGCTCAAGACGACAATTCACATAAATGCTTAATTTTGGAGTTATTAATTTTGCCCCACTGGATTGCATTCCAGTTTATTTTTTAGCAAAAGTTGGGTACACCTGTACAACTTTTCCGAAGACACCAAACTTATAGCACAAACGAAGGGACAGACGGAGCGACTCGAAAACTTTGGTGACGAAATTGCTATTGCAATTTTTCAGTGTACCACATGGCAACACTACTACTGGATTGTACTAGAATTTTCACCAAATGTACTGTACTTTCACTTTACACTCAAGTCAAGTCAAGAGGGATACGTACCGTGTAAAAAAAAAACCGTGTATAAAAAAACCTGCGGGATTTTGATTTTTCACATGCTTAAATGTTTTTTAAAAATCGGATTTTGATGCCATTTGTAATTATAGCATGCTATGGTCCATATAGACATATTTAAAAAATTCTATATTTACACCAAAAATTGTGATTTTTTTTCTAAGTATGTCATTCGATTAACTTGAAACGGATAATGTGATTAAAATCAAGTCGATAGGTTGTACCGTTGTCGAGAAATCGTTAAAAACGTACCGTGTAAATCGCGAAAAACCGTGTAAAAAAACCGTGTAAAAAAAGACTTCAGTGTACTTAAAATTGAAATGTATAAAAAAAAATAACAAAATGATACACTCTTTGCACACTGTCAAAGCTCATTGCTCACGAAATCAACTTTGTTCAAATCAAAACAAAAATACTAGCCCATCTGGTGGCTGATGACACAAGCTTCTAAGGTTGTGTAACAGTGAACCACATTAATTTAATTGATTTCTTCGCCAGTTAGTCGTCTGTCATTTTATTTGTGCTTATAGCATGCATGGGCGGAGCCTACTATTTATGTCCAACAAAAGTACCATTCTGCCCCAGTGGGCGATGTTAATGTTATTAACAACCATGTCTGTACCCTGCTTATCACACATTTTAATATTCTCCTCTCTAGACATTTGCAGAGCTGAATCAGCCAATTGCAGAAAGTCTCTAAAATATAGACAACCAACCAACACATTGGCCCCATTGGTTGTCACTAAACCTGCTGGCTCATAAGTAAAGAAAGAATCAAAAGCAATCATAATCGTTCAGACCAAGCTTGTTTTTCAAACTGGATTCTGATATCCATGAATAAATAGCCGTTTGAATTCAATTATCTTGAGCAGTACAATAAAGATGTACCACTGTGTGTTTTCATTGTCGAGCATTAATGCTTCGCTAGAGGCATATTCTGTCCATCCAATTATCGTATAACGGTACAATCGGTGCTATTGATTGCTCCTACAAACCGATACAGGGTGAAATGCGAAGCATACTACTGACACTGTTGTGTCGATTAGCCTGCAGTGAGCAGAGTCAAATAAACGCCGAGGACAACAGTGCGTAGGTGGTGGCCAATGGTCAACTGGTGTCACAACGAATAATAGGTGCACAATCCGAGGGGTAAAAGTCAATTTGGCTCTGCGTATCGCTGCATTGTTCCATTGTCCGGTTAACCGTTTAGTGGTTACGGTTCTGGTAATGGTCAGTTTCATTATGTTTTATGATACTAATTGTTGGCAAATTAATATGTTTTGTCCGGTTGTGGCATATTTGTGAGTACAAGTTTAGAGTAAGCAGATGTTAATCTGTGGAAATATCCGACAGATGGTTTATGATTAATTTTTAAGAATCTTCTACTTCTTGGCTACTGTGTACCAAATGTGTACGCCTGCTCTTGTATTGTGCTCTTTGAGCGTTTCCAAGATGACAATTAAGATCATGTTTATTTGTAAATTGTGTGACAAGCACAATGCTACTCCACACCAAAGGAATAAAACAATCTGTTGAATATTTCACCAATATTTAAATTATCGGGTATGGTTAATTTATTTTGGGCATTGCACAGTGGTGCAGGAGGTTTCAAGTAAAAACTAAAAAAAGTGCATAAGTATGCAGTTTAATCAAGTTACAGAAAGTTTAGATTAAAAAAAAAAAAGCGCATCTGATGAAGGGGTCGTCAACGATTTAAATCCCTTGGGACAAAAAAAAATTTAAACTTTTTTCTATGCGGTTTTGAAAAATAAAATCTTTCACAAAGCTTTAGATCTTTTCATTTTTATAAACTTTTCTGAAAACATCAATGGTTTAAAACGTCGTTTTCATTGAGCTACGAAGTATTTTTTAAGGAAGGTCCATTAAAATCGTTTTTTAACCATAACTTTTAAATTTGATTTATTTTCATGGCATACTATATAAGAAAGATTTTTTTTATTTACCAAAACAAGCAAGTTTCTAGAAACTTCAACACGCTACCTCACAAATGCAACATGTTAAGAGCGTTTATTTGTTCAAAATATTCCGGTGGATAATTTGCAAATTGGGGTAATCAGTTTTTTTAAACGAATAACGTGATCAAATCGTACCTGCTTTGGTTATGGTTTTCAGCTCAATTTTACTTAAAATTGGCTCTTTTCTGAACTAACTACATTACTGGTCGCAGTGGTGTTATGTCCCGAACAGAGGAAAAAAAAACTACATGGTGATGATGATGATGATGATGATGATGATGAAGATGATGATGATGATGATGATGATGATGATGATGATGATGATGATGATGATGATGATGATGATGATGATGATGATGATGATGATGATGATGATGATGATGATGGTGGTTCCACCTCTTACCCCTTCAAAGGTTTGAGCTGGACGATTTATCTTTAAGATAATTAAATGTAAAAAGTTTAACCAGTTTAGCACAAAAACGAGCTGGTTACATTTACAGATATAGATTCCCTCTAGAGTTTACAGTGGCTTCACAGCGATATAAATGTGAAAAAGCTTAGGCGTCCACGTCTTAGTTCGCCTTTTTGTCCACCTAAAATATTCATAATTCGATCAAGAGTTAATGAACAATCAACAAAGCATCCTATTACACTAGCAACCCCGCAATCTGATGCTATCATAATTTCAGCAATGTCAGGAATGCTCACGAACCCCCAACATTTGCCAGAAAACTTCGTCTTCAACATCGTGACGAACAGAATAGTTTTTGCAGTGCTACAATAATTATTAAAAAGTCATTATAACAGCTATCCTTACAAAATAATCCGTTAAAAATAACTTCGTCAAGATACATAATTTGTCAATTTAAAAAAAATCACTGGATAACTGTTCAAAAGACAGTTTTAACGTGTGAAATGCAATGTCTCTTAAATTCTGCTAAAGTTGTTGCGCGTTTAATGTGTCTAGGCATCGAATTGAAAACATTTATTCCTTTAAAAAATAATGAATTCTGTGAAGCACAAGTCAAGAAATGTGGTGTTCTTATTTCATCCACGTTTCTAGTATTATATCTATGATAATCACTTCCTCTTTTAATTCGATCAAACAAATATCGAGGCAGCAAACCGTTAACTACTTTAAAAATAAACACCATAGTCAAATATACAATTCTTTGTTTCACCGACAACCATTGTAAGGCGTCTAGCATCAAAGTTGAGGAAGTGAATCTATTGCATCGCAAAATCAAACGCATTATTTTATTCTGCAAGCGCTGTAATCTCGATATTTGTGTTGCATTGGGCAAAAATAAAATTGGAAGGGCAAAAGTCTTTATGAGGAGAGATGATTGATTTGTATAGCTGTATTTTACTGGCAATAGTTAAATCGACATAGAATTCCATACTTCTTGGCAATTTTCTTGATGACATTGTCAATGTGAGAGTTAAACTTAAGTTTGTCATCAATAATCACGCCAAGATATTTAATCTCCTGAACGCAATCAATAGCCTCATCATCAATTACAACAGAGACGTTCTCATTTACTCGATTCCGCGAAATTACCATAAATTTAGTTTTACTTGTATTCAATTTCAACTGCTTACACTTCAACCATCTACTTAAGTAGATACTGCAAATCTTCATTCAAGTGTGAGACGGCAACTTCTTAATCCTTAGCTGCAATGAATAACATAGTATCATCTGCAAAAAGATTAATGTCGCAAAACCTTTAAAACACGTCGCAAGTCATTAATATACATTATAAATAAAAGAGGCCCTAATACACTTCCCTGGGGCACTCCATGTTTATTCAACACAGGACTGGAAATAGAATCATTAAAAACATTCCGTTGAGTTCTGTCAGACAAATAGCTCTCAAACCATTTATATGCAGTA